GGGCGCTTCGCGTGGGGTTGTGGCTTCTTGCCAGGCGATGCGTACCATGCCGACGGGTGCCACCTCAGCCCCGTCGGCATGGAACGCTTGACTAGCGTGTTGCAGAGCTACATGGAGGCGAGGGTCTTGTTTCTTGGTTTCGTTGCGGGCTTGTCTCTGTGCAGCGGGTGCTTTGTTTGTTTGTTGCTGCGTCTGAGGGGGCGGACGTGGTGATCTCGGATAGTTGCCTGTGTGCTGTGGAAATAAAAGCCACGGTGCGCCCTAGGGCCCTAAAGGTATCGGGCACATACATATGTAATATAATACATATATATATATATGTAATATGATACATATATATATATAACATACATAAATAATAAAATATATAAATATATAAATATACATATATATATATAGAGAAACGGGTGCCTTTGAAAGAAAGGGATTACATCAGGGATCCTTGTAATAAGGCTTGGGACAAGAATATGGGCGCCTTTCTTTTGAAAGCCGGCTTGTGAATCAGGCGTTGGCGTTAGTACAGAAACTTGAATGCAACTAGTAGTGCTACTGTATTCCTTACACAGTTCTTTTTGGGCCCAAAACCCCCTTGAACTTATTGAGGGCAGCTTTGTGAAAGAGGGGTTGGGCTTTTGGGCAGTTTTGGTGCTGAGAGTTTGGCTTTTGTGTTTAGCGCCTTGAGGGCGTAGGGGTTGAGGGTTTATTAGCTCGGAGGCAAAGTGGTCTTCCCATCCTGAGGTTTCTGTCCGTGATTGTTTGCCCTTGATCGGGATGCCTGGCCTAGCGGCCTAGCTCGCATAGACGCGCAACAACAAAAGAACATAAAAGAACCAGCCGGCGGGACCGGCTCCGCAAGAGTACGAGGACATGATGTTGATGCAAGCTGTGCATTGGGCCAGCTGGAGCTAGAAACCCAATGTGATGCATGCCTTGTCTTCTGCACTCCAAGCGGAATTGAAAACCGCTCTGTTAGCTGTTTGGGGAATATCTCGAAAACCTGCTCCGGCGTTGGCCCTGTGGCTCTGCCCCCGCTTCTAATGCTTGCTGATCGGATTAGAATGATTAGGACCCAGTTGACAGAAGCTCTTACATCAGACTCAGCTGGAAAGACAAGCCAAGACACACCTGCACATCGCTGCCGCAAAGCTTTCACGGCAGGTGCCGCAGTCCTTTCGACTTCCGGCCAGCGCCGTCCGGGAGGCGAGCTGCATTAGTCCCTCAGACCCAGCCTGATGTCACGTGCACCAGCCTCATAGAAGCACCCACGACTCACTGCTCTACAATGACAATACTGTGAAGTGTAAGTAAGCATCAGTCATCGGTGCGCGCCGCAGGGATGCCAACCTGGAACCCGCTCCCAGCATCATGAGCCGCAAGCATCGTGAGCATCACTTGTCTCACTCAGTGGTTGCTTTTTCATTGCCTCATCTTGCCACACGTTCTTCAGGAGCGTCTCTCCGAGCTGTGCTGTCCTGATCCTCGGTACATGGGCTCGGAAGACAAGGCCAGCCCAACAAAGGTCTCTGAGTTCGCGCCGGAACCCAGGATCAATTTCCCTGAATCGCAGATTCGAAGATCCGTGCAGGCTGAGAAGTTTATGCCCCAAGCGCGGCTGCTGCCAGCCCTTGGAGGCCGTGAGCGTCGCGAGCCCCACTTCGGTACCTCGGATAGCAGGACAGCAGTGAGGGGTGCCGAGCCGAGACCGTCCGAAATTCCCATTTCTTCAGGCCTTGACGACGAGGATGGTTTGGAGCCTCACTGGACTTCTGCGGTGCGACAAAAGGCCGGCTTGGGCCCGGCTACACTCAATATTTTTCGAACCACTACAGTGTCAAATATGCAAGATGGTGACAAGATCACAATCACAATAAGTACAGTATGCTATGCCTCCTGATATTCTAGCCTGCCGCCGTTACGTGCCCTTATATAGCGAGACTCTCGCGGATGGCACGGCAGAGAGAGAGAGAGTGAGTACAATGCAAGCGTTTACAGCCATCCAGTTGCAGCTCTTGCTAGGCTGATCACTATAACCATCATTTTCGTTGTGGGTTGGTGCATGCAGATTCTTTCTCATGTTTTATTTTCCGCTGACACAAGGTGGCAGATCCGGCACGCTCGCGCCCACACAGGGGCTGGGCTTGACCATGGCCGGAAAACGGCCACATGGCCGGATCATGTCAGAACCGTAGCAAACGCTTCATCGCAATGCTACAGCACACAGAATCGAATCCAAATATCTATGCTACCCTGGATAAGGCCAAGGCTTAGTACCGCAGAGAATTGTGTGCATTCAGGCCGTAAAGCAGGGTCGCAGAACTCCGAGAACGATGACTGTTGCAAATCGCATGCCCAGGATCACACCTTCTGAAGATCCGCAGATCAATGTTTGTGAAGAAAAGCTTCGAAACCTGTAGCCATTTCGGCACAAGTTTGCCTCCAAGCCCGCCTGAGCTAGGTAAAGTCTCGAGGCATGCATACATACATACATACATACATACATACATATATATATATATATACACATTTATTTATTCATTTACTTGGCAATGTGTCCATGCCGCCTAAAGACCTAGGACCAGTCACGCCAAGATTTGCAGATTTTGCTACCGCGTGCACTTCGTTCGGCCTGGTGAGTGCTGTCATGGATTCAATGGACTCTGCTTTTGGATTCCATTTGGACCAGTTGACAGAGCACTTGAAGACCCAACTTCTTGAGCACTATGAAAGAGATCTAGCAGCTTGGCGAGGCAGACAAGCAGGTGTCACCGATGGCGAGGCGTTTTCCGTCACCAAGCCTCGCATCTTGGGACTGCAGAGGACGGGTGTGAAGGAAGGACTTCATTTCCTCCGGAGCCCGAAAAGGTTGCTGTGCCGGATATCCTCTCCGGACTCGGACTCCGAAGAGGAGTACCCAGCGGTCACAGACAGAATGGGTCCAATAGTCCAGCCACGGCTGGCCTCCAAGACAGCTGTCCCGGAAGAGTCTGACTCGCAGGGAACGGCCGATTCATTGGAGTTGAAGACCCCGCACCCAACCACGCATGCAGCAAGGTTTCCGAAGCCGGAGGCAGTCCATCCCTTCAGTCCACATACTCCCCAGGAGAAGCCGACAGAGCTGATGCCTGCAGATGCCTCAGCCCTGCCGCACAAGCCAGAGATCGCAGACGACCCACCGCAGGCAGAGGTGGATGCACCGGAGAAAGCCAATTCAGATGCGTCCAGTTCTTTCGAGACTAAGTCCTCTGGGAGCTTCAGCAGTACATCGACTCCGAATGATGAGATGCCAGAACACCCACCGCCCAACAGGTGCAGAGTCAAAAGGGTGAGCAATGCTTCCTTCTCGGAGTTTTTCAAGAGGCAGGCTACCGTTACCGACTTGTACTTGTTCATGCAAGACGAGGACTCAAGTCAGGCGGCGTGGCTGTACTCGAAGTTCATGAACTACTTCGTGACAGCTGCCATCATCTTGACTGTTTGGCAAGCCAGTGCCCAGCCAGTGGTGCCTCGCTTCATTGAGGGTGTGATTCAGCTTGGTTTTGAGGGCCTCTTGCTCATCGAGTTGCTGGCGCACTTCTTCTCTACAAGGAGACCTGATAGGATAGCATTCGTCAAGAATCCGTACAACATCATTGACTTTTTTGCAATTCTTCCGGCGGCACTGCGAATCCCAGGAACTTTCGGCATTGCAGCCCCCACTAAGGAGGACAATGCACTGGTGCACCATTTACTGTATTGTCTGGTTCCTGTCATGAGGGCGCTCAAGCTGATCCGTAAATTTCAGAAGCTGCAGCTCTTGTTTCATGTTCTGTCTACAACCCTGGACGCATTGAAATTGTTGCTGTTTCTGGTTTGCTTGATTGTGCTGGTCTTTGGATGTGCTTTCTATGTGCTGGAGCCGGACACTATGGATTCCCTGACCACCTCCATCTATCTGTGCACCGTGACAGTAACGACGGTTGGAACCTGCGACATGAACCCATCCACTCCGACTGGAAAGATCATGGCCGGCTTGCTGTGCTTGACCAGCGTCCTCTTTATGGCTATGCCTCTCTCCGTGTTGGGCAATGCAATGTCGCAGACCTGGGCGGATCGGCATCGAATCGTCCTCATCACCCAAGCTCGCCGCAAGCTCAAAAATCTAGGGTACACTGCTGAGCACATGCCCAGGCTCTTTTCGAAGTTTGACAAGGACGGGAATGGTGAGCTGGAGATGGACGAGTTCTGCGATCTGGTGGCAAAGATGCGGATTGGTATGAAGCCCTCCGAGGCTTCAGAGCTGTTCCTGGCGTTCGACGAGAACGGGGACGGCGGAATCACTGAGATGGAATTCATGAAGGCGTTGTACCCTCTGGATTATCGCCGGATCTACCGCAGAGCTTCCGGCGTTTCATGGGGTGCGTAGCGATGCATAGCGCAGGAAGCTCGTATTTACGGCGGAGATGCATGTGTTGCAGCACAGCAAAGCTGTCCTTGCACGCACTGCTTGATAGACTTTGGGAGGGTTAGTGATAGTGACCGGGATGACAAGATCCCCCCCGACAGCAGAAAACGGTTCTCGAGAGCAGGGTTCTCGAACAACATCGAATCGTAGAAAAGGCCTGGAGACTGGCAGTACTCCTTTTTCCGAGTTCTGTCCAGTGCGCAATGCTTCCACCAGGCTATTCGTCTGAATATCTCCTATCTATCTATCTATCTATCTATCTATCTATATACACGCACATTTACAAGATATACATACATACACACATATAGACACACACACACATATATATATATATGCACACATACACACATACATATACACATACGT